TTATATTCTAAAATGAAATCCTTGAATACTTCGCATATTTATAAAAGGTCTTAGAGAAATGAGGCACGAAAAGAGACATGATGAGCGTTTGGGGAACATATGTAACGGTCCCCGTTACAATTAACACTAGTTATTTATGTTTTTATTTGTCCTGTAGCGGTGTTGGGGAGGAGTGTAATCGCCCGTGCCCCTGTCACCCTCGTTCCCTCTGTAACTGTGGAGGAGAGGTAGACCCGGTCTGTGGAACTGACGGCGTCACCTACATGAATCCGTGCTGGGCCAAGTGTGGGTTAGTAAAGCTTCAACTACTGAGCAATTTTAAGATTTTGAAATTGTTTCTAACCCTTTTGCCTGACCATGACGTACTTTTTTTCATGAATATTTTCATTTTCACAACTGCAGTGTTGAAAATATTAGATTTTAATTAATCAGTCTGTATATATATCGGATAAAGATAACAAACAGCCACCGATCTAAAAAAAAATCCTTGAACAAAATAAATCTGTGAAGAAGAAAAGGAAGGCATAAACACGGACCCCTGGAAATTTCTGAGATGTGATCAGGTGGAGGAATAAGTATCCCCTGTAGACCGGTCACATCCGCCATGATCCCTATGTATTGATCAGGTGAACGGAAAATTCCGTAGTCCGATTCGGTATAAACACAAAGGCGTGGCAATTGGTATGAACTATGAAACAGGTCAACCAAAATACGACTCAATATATTTGGTAACAAGATCATTATAACGAACATAGAACTTAAAAATAAACACCTTAGCAAGTTTTTTTTAGATCCCTGTTACATCAACTTATCTGTCAGTAACCTGCCTCGGTCTGATTTTCTTTCAATTTTAGTATGTTAGTTCTCAAATAAAGTATTGATTTATTTTTTAATTTATTTGATCGTGATTTCAAGTTGGGAGGAAGATAAAGATAAAAATATTTAGAATTCAAAAATTCCTCATAAATGGGTTCTTCAGTTTTGCAAACGTAGCATGCACCGGAACGTGTCCTTGTGAGCCAACGACAACTCCCACAACGCCCCCTGGCTGCAAGTGCCCGCCAGTCACAAGTCTTGTCTGCGGTTCTGATGACGTCACATATGGAGGGGAGTGCATGGCAAACTGCAGGTGAATGTTTCAACAATAGATATATATCTGTCTTTTTTCTTAAATGGATTGTTTATCAGAGTTTAATTAAACGTACGGTTTTAATCAAATATATTTTTTTGACAATTTTAAACCAGGCACGAACTGTACACATACATATATAGTCGTTTAATTTGTTTTGAAGCGGTGTAACTGTGCAGTGTGAGGGTGCCTGTCCTTGCCCCGCCCCCTGTGAGTGTCCACCAAATGTTGACCCAGTTTGTACTACCTATAACAAGACCATCGTTAACGAATGTACAGCCGAATGCTTGTAAGCTTCATTTTATATTTTAAAAAAATTATTGAAACTTTTTTTTTTCAAGGGGAAGTTGACCTGATTATTAAAGAATTTTTATATTTTCTTGTAATTTTGGCAATTTTCAAGCCGAAATTAGGGTTAAATATCAAATCAAAAAGGAACAGTAGTTCATTTTCGCACCATCGCACAAGGTCGATGGCACGGTGGGCGATTTTGTGATGAAGATAATTTGATGACAATGGGCGATGATGTGATGACGACAATGTGACAGTGCGTCATTACACCAACACGTAAATGGCATTGTACTATCGTCATCATTTCATCGCGACATATAGTGCTATCACTCATTTTTACTTTAACATTGAACAAATATTTTTTAAAATTAATTAGGGAAGAAGAAATTGCTTGTAATGGGAGTTGTCCATGCGAGAAGAAATGCCTATGTCCAAGAATATACAACCCTGTCTGCGGAACAGATGGAATAACATACGCCAATCCTTGTCTAGCACAATGTCAGTAAGTACTGTCAGTAAGTACAGCGTGTTGGTGGTACACAGTATCAGTGTCTATAGTCAGTGTCAGCGAATGAGTGTAAACACATTGTTAGTAGACAGATTTCATAAATAGATTACGATGTCAGTGAGTAACCAGAGTGGACTAGATACAATGTCAGTGAGTAGACAGGATTTCAGTGAATAGACACGATGTCAACTAGAAGCTAGAGTTATAGACACACTGTCAGTTCGTAAATGTTGTCAGTAACACATCATTAGCGATTAGTCAATTGCAGTGAGGAGAAAATGTCAATAAGTTATAACTGTCAATGGTTAGACACAGAGTCAGTGAGAAGACTTTGTGAGTACAATGTCAATTAGTCATCACTGACAATAGGAATAAATGTCCAAAAAAAGACCAAGTGTCAGCGAGAAGTCCCTAGCAGGAAGCAGACAGTGGCAATTTGTAAACACAATTTTAGTAAGTAGTAATTGTAAGTGAATAGATACAATATTATTGAGTATACTAAATAGTCGGAATAGGCACATTGTTTTTGAGTGGACACGAGTCACCGTTGAGCTCAGCGGATAAATACAGTCAGCGAGCAAGCTATAACGTCAGTAAATCATTTACACAAAAAGAAAACTATACCGATAAAATTTATTTGAACCTTTTCCATGGTTTTTATTTGAGTGTTTTTAGCATACCTTGGTGTAGCTTTAATTTTTTTACTTATTGATCAGTCCAAATTGCATTTTATTACGTTTTATAACATTTGAGAAAAAGGAAGAACAAGAGTTGAATTGTGTTATAGGGAGGTGCCGGCAGCCTGTTCCGGGGAGTGCCCCTGCCCTGCCCCCTGTAACTGTTCGGACACCCTCGAACCTGTCTGTAGTACCAGAGGACAAAACTACACCAATGCATGCGAGGCAGCTTGCGAGTAAGTCGACAGCATGTCAAACATTATTTTTTCTCTATCCTTAATTTGTATTCTTGTCTTTGCTATTTACAAGAGCTCAGTTTAATTTATAGTGCTGTTCACATATATCTCACTATCTATAAACAATTTGTTAATTGATTAATTTTTGAACGTTGCAGTATGGCCACCATTGCCTGTAATGGTACTTGCCCTTGCTCAGAGCCTTGCGCGTGCACTAGGGAGTTTGCCCCCGTCTGCGGCGCCAACAATGTGACGTACTCCAACAAATGTCAAGCCAAATGTCTGTAAGGGTCCAAATAGTCTCTGTACAAAAATTCAATTACTTTAAAAACAATTGAAGGATATTTTTTTTTTATATTTCGGATATTAACTCCAAATATCTAGTTCAGTTGAGCTAGGTGTCTGTTCTATCAAACAAGTATATCCGTGTTTAATTCAATGTATAAGATATTAAGTATTGGTACCGTACTTTGGTATTTTAGTATTCATGATAACTTAAAAAATTAAATTTTATGGTGAGGCAGAAACTTGGTTTTAAGCACGTGAGAATTAATCCAAGTGTGACGTGTTTTCTAGGAACGTGAGCGTGGGCTGTCAGAACGAGTGTCCGTGTTGTGACTGTGAGGGGTGCCCGGAGTTTCTCGTCTGTGGTTCCGACGGTCGCGTCTATCTCAATCCCTGCAAACTGGAGTGTGCGTAAGTGTCTAAAATTAGACATTTGAGTTTGCGACTGCTTATACAATTTTCGTGAGTGTTATATCTTTGTTGTTTACAAAGAGATATGCAATTTAAAATATCCTCCACGGCAATATCAACGACGAAATCATTTCCCTGCAACCAAATAATTTTCAACCCAAAGAAAATATGTGATTTTATAGTCTTTTATTTTCACTATATAGGGGTGTGACGCTGGCATGTTTTGGATTTTGCCCCTGCTATGAAGAAACAGAACGCCGGAAATCAAGGCTAGCGTTGTCCAGTCAAGTGAGGACATAGAGCTACAATCCGACGGAGACCGGTCATTACTCTCATTGATCAATTCCCTGTGGCGCAATATTCCAAAAACTGGAAATTGACCAATAAAGACACAGTCACTATCACAGATACACTGATAAATATTCTTGCCTGACATCTATTATGCCTATAATAAATACATTGTATAAAATATTTAGTACTTTTCAAGGAGTATTCCCCTTCATCAAAAATTATAATGAACACTGTAAGGAATGCAAAACAGTGCGGTATACTAATTAGCCTTCAAAGACAGCTAGGATTATCTTTATTGTTTTCCATTTCATCATTTATTCATAGTAAGGAAAGAAAGAATTCAAAATTTGCTTGAATGAAATAAAAAAAACCATGCACTTGCGATAAATGTATTTAACTGTAATTTTGAACATTATTAATGACACTATAGCAAAAGCGAAAGTCAAAATGAAGAAAGAATGTATTCTGTTTAGAGAAATTTTATTTTCATTTTTTATATATTGAGTAAATGTTTTTGACTTTCCTTTCAAATTTTCCATTTCTATAAACAGCTTATAAATAAACACTGTATATGTATTAAACTTTGTAATATAAATTGACATCAATATTAAAGCATTAATAAAATTATCTTTTTTAAGTGTTATAATTATAATCACTAAGGAATGACAAATCTCATTATTATGCACCGAAAATCATTCCCTGTACAAAATATCTCGCTCTCTCTCTCTTTTCTGCCAAGTTTTTTTGGCGAAGAATGTTAAAATCCTTGGTGACGAAATCCCTCGGGACGTAAGTTATACTGATATGAACCACTGCTTCGTCAGACATAACAAGGTTTGGAGAAGTCGCTGCTGATGATGGATTTGATGGCGGAGTAAGTCGAGGCGATACCAGCCACGGCTCCCAATAGAATGATTTCTATGTTCAAGACCTTAACCCACAGCGGAAGACCACGACTGAAATAAAAAGAACAACGGAAGGGATTAAAAAAATCGAATGGATCTATCAGTAGCCATGTCGCAAGCCACGGGATTTGTGTCCGTTGTATTTCATAAAAACTGAGGCTTGCTGATATGGATAAAACAATGAATTAAATCAATATATTATATATATATGAATCAATTCTTTTCATTTTCTTCTCACATTTGCTCCTATAGTGATACGTGTAAAATTCGGAACAACAGGTGTCCTTATATCTAGCGTTTACTGTATAACGCCCTTATACCTTTCTTCCTCTGGTAGACTAAGACTATCAGCCTTGTTTCCATTTATGATTTCCACCATGTCCTCCTGACGAACAGACTTAAGTTTGAGATAGAACAGTGAAGGACAGATATAGGCTAACAACGTCACTGTGGATCCGCCCACTAAGGATAAAATGGCGCCAAATGTGGGGATCGTTTCCGCCATGAAAAGTATGAAGGCTACGACCACTGATCTAAATACACATCGCTTCCACGTAAAATCTAAGGGGAAGGTTTGAAATATTAAATTCTGATAATTAGATCTGAGTATGATTTTTCTATCTGAAAACAATCATGCATACAGATGTTTGAAGTAATGAGCCTTTCCGTTTTTACTGAAAACGTGGTACATGTAAATACTGTAAACCACCAAATTTTCGCGACACCTTATTTTCGCAGGTTATATATCTGATACTTCAGAGCGAGACTACTGATTTTCGAAGTATACATCCTATACTTATAAAAAAATCAATGGAACATGAAGGCAAAGAGTGATTTTCAATACTGTGTAATGGGGAAAACAACAATTTGCGTATGCTGAAAATACAATAATCTTCATGCTGAAAAAACTTACTTTTAGGAACCCTGGCGTATGACTCTAGCTCCTGACAGAAAGGGTTGATAACAATCAACAGACCGAGAAGTAAGTGAAGCGTGATCATGACCTCCACGACCTGATTAAGGCTCCCGCCATTAGGCATTAGGAGAATGTTCGAACTGACATTCTTGCCGTAGACAAAGTACGCAATGGTGGATATAGGAAGGTACATCAACATCACAACTTAAAGAAAAGACAAAAATATATCAATCAGAAAGTGACAATCGTTGCACAATTTTGTGATAATCGTTGGAAAATTGAAATCCTGCAATCCACGGTTTCAATTATTACGCACCGTCTCTCTCTCTCTCTCTCTCTCTCTCTCTCTCTCTCTCTCTCTCTGATAGAGAGAGAGAAAACAAAGCGTACTCAACCTTGGATTTCTGACGATAGAGATAATCGTAAGTTATTAGCATACTTATATATCCTAGTGTCACCGCCCACTTAAAGTCACTGGGTTTCTTCATGTCTGTCTGGAAGGTTGGGAAGGCAGGGTGGCCTCCAAAGGCAAACACAATTGTCCCAAACGCCATAAAAAATGGCTCGAACTCTGTCTTTGAGTGTAGTATGGGGTCGTATGTTCCCTCATCTAAAGCAACTTTGATGATAAGAAGAATACAGGCAACAGCTGTAGCAAGTGTTGCTCCTACCGCAACTGGCCTATAGTAATGAGATATACAGTTCTCCAAGTGGTTAATGAACAAAGTTTAAGGGGAAAAGGATAGCGATGTTTCTAGTTTTTGAAAGGTTCGTCATCCATACAAAATTATTGTTTTGACTGATGAATTTCTAAGAGATAATAAAAATGCACACCATTGCAACATAACTTGCAGGGCAAAATTTGTCAGAAATGGTATGTTAACTTGACAAAACAGTCTTTTACTTCAGTGAGAGTTACCTCTCTTATCGGAGGGTCAATGAACCTTAAGAAAAAAAGTTCAGCAAAATTTCAACACACGCGCTTTATTTTGTTGGAGGGTCTAGATTTGAATTTTACTTCTGTTAATCTACAAAAAAAAA